TTGACAGAAATTAGGTTATTTAGAAGCACATGTATTGTGCATGTATGAGTGAGTGAGAATGAGAGGGGGAGGGAGAGAGACTGTGGCATATATGCATAGTAAATACGACTTTACCTTCCCGTCATTTTTGTGTCTTAGTGAATACTGGCCATGCAATTAAAATTAGTTTTGTGCAGTTGCACAGCCAGTTGCAAGTCAGCTGGTGTAATGACCAGGGCTGTGGTCAGCCAATGCACTGTTCTACCTGACAATACTGCACACGTTGTGGGCGGCAGCTATTAGCCCCTCTCTAGGCAAATAATGCAGCCATATTACCTAATAGTTCTGTATGATGGCCTTTCAAGACCAGAAAGAATAACTCTGAGACACTGTCTAACCTCATGTGTGATACAAGACACAGAATAGCCTAAAAAGAGACAATATCTGGACTGCTATTCCCCACAAAGAGACAAAAATAAGTGTTCTTCCTGATGTCCTGGGAGAAAAAGCACACGCTGTGCTCTTTTAGCTTCTCAAAATTCTCCACACACAACCTCGCTTTCTTCCTTTTAACTCTGAATCCATTTATTATCTGTAATGATTTGACAAGCAAATGCAGTTTAGTGTCTGGTTTGTTTGTGAAGTGTTCATTCCTTGAATTGCTGAAACTGGTTACTTGTGACGGGTGCTTGGTCACTGAAGTCATAAAATATTTTTTCTGCTTCCAGACATTGGCTTGAAACTTGTACAGTAGAAATAAAACAAATGCCAAATAATGAATTAATCTAATTAATAATATATTTTTACCATTATATTATTAATCATGTACAAATGCCAAGAAGATTTGGATGATGATCATTCTGGGTAGGCATCCATGCATATGAATACAGGTATATAAAGCCAGCATTGATTGGTGCACTTTTTCAAAAGTGTAATTTTTCAGTGTTTTCCTACAGAAACAAGGTAGTGTAGATTTAATTTATTTAGGTGAACAAAATTACCACTAAACCCTCCTGCAACTCTGTAGTTATGCTTCTGTACATGAAAGCTGACCTTACTCTTATGTGATACTATCTTTCTAACATAGTGTCCTGTCTAATAGCCAGGACTGTGTCTCTTTCAAATATAGAGTGCCTAAAGTTCTGTTGATGGTAAAAAGATGAGATATTTAGATATATAGTTATTTACTGTGTGTATGTGGTTGCCATGATGCATCAATAATCCAATTTATCAGAGTTCTTTCCCTTGATAAAAAAGAGTAAAAACAAAACCAACAGAAAAACATGGTTTTTTTTCCATTCTTTAAGATCAGTCTGACAGATTTCTATTAGCAACTATGATTTTTCAAAGATTTTCATCATCTCCCAAACCAGCTGAAAACACAAGTCCATTTTAATTATTTTTCTGCATTATATGCATGCAACATATATATAAAATCATAATATGTAGCAGAAATTATAAATTTAATAAATCCAAAATCTATGTTGTGTGTTAGCTTTGTGTTTCTTTTAATTCTTAAATTCACAAATTATCTATTAATAAAATGATGCTTTTGTCTTCAGAAGTTCTGATTTTGTGTGAAAATCACTAGATTTCCTCTTGTTTCTTCAAAAACGGTTGATAGTTGTGTTTTCTTATATTTTCTCTATAATTTATATATCTTTCCCAATCTTATAACCCAGTTTAGTTCAGTTCATGTTGGGAGTTAGTTTTCGTTTTGTTTTCTTATATTGAGGAAATATTAAAGTGAAAGCCTTGTCTACTGCTGTCACAGCCCCTCTTTACTTTCCTTGAAATGTAATCCAAGACATTTGTTTTATTGACTTGAATCTTGAGAAAGTGCAAGTTTTGAAGGAGCAAGAATTTTGCTCTAGAAAACTTTACTTAATGGAAAATCTGGAGGATTTTCCCTGCCTCTGGTTATTTAACACATGGTCTTCTCCTCACATCCACCTTCTATCTTTTCTCTGTCTTCAAAGAAAACCCAATATAAGTGCAGAGAGCAGAATGAAAGAAGCAGACAGAATACAGTGTCATAATTTCACTTAGAATTGGAGCAAATGCATACCATCTTGAAATAGAAAACAGAAAACATATGGGAGATAAGGGAAAAGCGTGCATAAAAATGTGCATTTATGAATTTTTCATTGGCTCCTACTTTTTATAAATTTTCCTGTTCAGAACAACTCATATCAGCTATCATTTCTAATACAGACTTTTTAAGCTTTAGATTTTAGAAAGGACGGATGGGTCTTGGAAGCCTAGTAGTGAAGCACTGTCCTGATTTCCTCTGGAATAGAGTTAATTTCCTTCCTAGTAGCTGGTACAGTGCTGAGTTTTGGATTTAGGGTGAGAATAATGTTGGTAACACACCGATGTTTTAGTTGTTGCTAAGTAGTGCTTACACTAGTCAAGGACTTTTCAGCTTCCCGTGCTCTACCCACTGAGAAGGCTGGAGGTGCCCTATTATTATTATTATTATTATTATTATTATTATTATTATTATTATTATTATTATTATTATTATTATTATTATTATTATTATTATTATTATTATTATTATTATTATTATTATTATTATTATTATTATTGTATTTCAATTGTTAAACTGTTTTTATCTCAACCCATGAGTTTTCTCACTTTTACTCTTCCGATTGTCCCCCCCATGCCACCGGGGGAGGGGAGAGTGAGCGAGCAGCTGTGTGGTGCTCAGGTGCCAGCTGAGGTTAAATCATGACAGGCACTTTGCTCAGTTGTGAACATTTTCCTGGACTTTATGAGGCAGATTGGCTTTTTTCCATATGACCACACACACGAAAAACCTGTTGATGCTTAGATGTGACCCATTTTGCATGATAGGCAGTAGCTAACAGGTTGGTTGCAAGCGGTGCTATCATTCTAGATTTTGAGTTGGTTTGTTTTTTTTTTCTTTTTTTGACTTATTTTGATTTGGAGCAATAACATCTGCTTAAGAAAGAAGGCTGTATTTTGGCAGAGATTATGCCAACACAGAAAGACAAAGATAGTATTGTACCAATGTCCTCAAACAAGATCTTCTATACCTTTTGTCAGTGACCCATAATTTGCTGAAGCCACTTTAAAGACTTCCCATACATGCAGTTAAGCTATGCTGTAGAGAAATATTCTAGAAATGAGAGTTATTTATCCGTCTCGTTATGCCATAGTTTATGTGAGAAAGAAAGAGAATATTCTGTTAATGCTTGAGAGGAGTATGTATTGTTTGCTAGGTTGCTAGGTTGCAAGGATGAAGTATTGACATGGAAAAAATGGCAGGAATATTTTATATTTTAATAAAAAATATCCTTTCTTCGGTTTTTGAAAAGAAAGTGTGGGAGTCCTTCTTTTATTTTTCACAGATACCTAGGGATCAGTTCAGCTCAGTAACTGATATCATGCGATTCAGAACAGATGTGAAATGAGAGGGGAAAAAAAAAGAAGCCAGGCAGAAGCAATGTTTAATCACAGGAAAAGCAGAAAGAAAGGAAAAGAAAACTGCCCTCAAAATGGTCATATACAATATATTTTGTATTTCAATAAGATAAAAAATAATTGCACCATTTACAAGAAATGAAAAGCTTAACATATATAACATATTTTCTCCATTCAGATGAGTAATACTCATTTTCATTTGACACACTGAAAATGACATAGAAAAATACTAATAAAATCTAATATTTTAAAGTCTTCTATATGCAATGTTTTTTAAGAGGAGTATTTATTGTGATTATAAATCTTTGGTTTTAGCCATTGATATCCTTTAAAAAAGGAAAAATATCCTCTTATCAAAGCATAGTTTGTAAAGGGCATACCATACTCAAAATGCAAGCCAATATGTATTTTCATTGATAGCTTTAGGCCTTGTTATACAGTGCCTGTTTTAAAACTCTGGAAATCAGCATTTGGGATTTGCTAGGAGATAGAGCAGAATTCCCAACCAACCAAAACCTATATTTTCCAGGGTATAAAAAGGAATACTGGCTGATCAAAGGCTGTAATATCTGGTTTGCTATTAAGAAAATTTCAAGACATTTCAATACATTTCCATTACAAATCACAGGCTTCTAATATTTAAGCTAAAGAAGTCACCTTTCGCTATCATTGAAACAAAGAAAAGACTTTGGACTGCTCTGGACCTACTTACTCAGTTGGGTCAGCCGTGGGAGTCATGCAAAGGCTGCTGAGCAGTGGGTGGTATGCACAAATACAAGATCAGTTCTTACGCTTCTGTACTCCCTCTTGGGTAGCACATCCTTAGGCATAGAAGGAATATTTCTGTGTAAAACCTTTGGTGCCTAGAAAGTCTAAGATGTCCAAGACGTCTAAGATGTGCTACCCTTGTAGGAGAGGTTATTTGGGGTCTTTGTTGGGAAAGTAGGCACTTAAATCACATCTGTACTATTAAGTAAGAATGGAGAGGGACTACTCTCTGGTCTACCAGCTGGCCCAGCTCAGTTCATCTGGAGACATCTACATTTTTTCCTTTTTCTCCAAAGAATAGCATGGCCATATCAAAACTACTTACTGGGTGCGGTGCTTGGAATATACCTTTTCCCAGACAATGGCTGGGCACTGTCTGGAAATGTATGAGTGAGCACAGGCCAAAGCTGTGGAGGCAGTGGGCTAGCAGCTAGGCACTATGGGTGAGCCTTCTCTAGTGCTCAAATCTGGCTTTGACCTTTTTTTATTTTTCTTCTTATCCAGATGTGACTTTAAATTCCACCTCAGCTGCACTATAAGTACTCAAGTGTTAAATTGATGCTTTTCCATGACGTTCACTCCTCCAAATACTCAGACTGTTTCATGCCAGTTCTCAGGCCTGAAAAAGACCTGGAAAAATGGAGGATCTTTGTGGGAAGGGATGAAGACCAGCATCTCCTACCTTCTAGGCTAGTTTTCAGGATGCCCTGAGGGTTTCACCTTCTACTTCTTGGACATCTTACAGTGTTCTGCAGAGGGATCTTGTCCCACAAACCCAAAGTTTCTTTTGAAGAAACCAGAGCATGGGGGTAGGAAGGCTGATAAGCATCAGCATCTCACCCTGAAGTGGGATATGACCTAAGTTCATATTCAGACAGAACTCTGAAAATAGTTTCCATGTAGCCTCACTGGCCAAAACAGAGAGAAATGGGACCAGCATATTAAAAAGCTCAGTATAGACTGCAGACAAGGTTGAAAGAGGCTGCAATAAAAAGGGTACAGAGTGGGAGACACTTATTTGAGAAATAGATCTCAGGAACAGGTATACTCATGGAATCTTTAAAAATACGGACAAGAGTTCAAATGTATTTTTGAGCCAAAGCTGAGGACTTGTGAATCAGACAGGAAGATGATGTGTACAAACTGAGATTGGATACATAAAAATGTTCACAGAAGCCTTTTCACATTGCATTATTTACTTCTGTTCTTGAATAAACATTTCTTTCCTGTCTTGCTTAAGTAGACACATGGGTTTGCTCATTTTCTTGTTACCATGTATGGTGTGCTGTTCAATACACTCCCTACAAACTGATGTACATTTTCAAATATGATTCATAAACCAACTTACTACTCTTAGATCTATTCTATGAAGAGAAAATGTGGATTCATACTGAACGGAACTACAGTGTTAGTGATCAGGAAGGAACATCTGTGAATATTTATCTGTCATCAGAGCCAGCATTTCTGTCTCCAACCAATAGACTACGCTCACTGACTAATTAAAAATAGAAAAACAATTAGCTTATTTCTTTTATTGTTGCAAGTGTCAATATAGCAACTGAAGCATTAAAAATGTGGTAGGGTGTGGGGATTAACAGCGTAGGGGATATAGTCAACACTGGGAAAACCGCTTGCTGTTTGGAAGTTTATTTAAGAACAAAAAGTACACACATCGCCTAGTCTTCCTTCTCATTAATCATTTACTGTGGATAAGAAACCTTTGTAAGCAATTAAAATTGAATTTGTAATGAAAAAAATTGTGTTCTACAAAATGCAGTAGGCAAAAGCTACTATAAAGAGATAATCACAAACCATAGATTAGTGATAAAGGCTTCAGTTTATCACCTAGCAACCTTACCCATACCTACCACCATTGCAAACAAGCTAAGATAAAAGTTTTGTGATTCTGGAACTAATATGTTGAAATTAATTATACAATTTAAGCTGCTACTGACACTAATAAAAATTATAACTGATGAGATGAAACATACTAAAATCAAGCCAAACTCAGCTAGATTGCTTTTCTAATGTGTCAGTGTTTGAATTTTCAGTGCTTGAAAATTTAATCTAAGTTTCCTTTTTTATTAAAAACTGGTCTAGGAAGAAGGAAAACAATCAGCTGACTATATTGCTTTTCAGCCTGTGATAAAGGAAAGGTAGTTACTAAGCTTTTCAGATATTCTGAATGAATACAAAAAGGAAATTTTTGTTATATAATAACCTAGATAGATAGCAAGTACCTAGTCAGTAAATAATGTACTTCAAAACAGATAAGTGGAAAATAAAATGGGAAACACGCAAACCTCTCTGTATTCAGTCATACAGGTTTTCATCACCTTCGTAGCCTGGTGTCCAATCTATTTTTGTATGATCATATGTGAAACTTTTCTGTGTCCAAAAAGCTAGCTTAATTCTTATGACAAAGATCATTGCTCAGAAGAAAATAGGTAAAAGAAACTAAAATTAACACATTTATTTTGCTTTTCTCTTTAAATAATGATAATAATAATTGTAATAATCACAGGTCCTGCAGCCATGGCTACACAGCATCGGATGACAGAATCTTTAATGTGTTCCTTTTAGCTCCCAAATGTAGACATTGGTCCTCACTGTTGCAGATTTATCCCCTAGTCTACAGCTGTTGGCGTTCAGGAACCCTAATGTGTGTTTTGATGCTGTGGACTGGATAAGGTTTTATTTGAAGGGAAGCAGCACCATCTATTGTGACCTGATAGCTTAGCTCTAGATGATAGAAAGAACAGAGCTGGCCTGAGCCCAGTTTTAAACTCTTTCTTGCACTTATTTTCATACGTTTTTCCCAAACCAGCTTCAAATGAGGTTAGGATCTCAGTTTGTGTATGATAACGTACAGGGACAGGGGTGTGTGGTGTGCGTGCGTGTGTCTAATAAAAAGACATACCTGTTTACAAACTAAGATAAAATAATAGCATAAGCCCAGTCCTGACTAACTGTTGCTTTTAAGTGACTTGGCTGGAGTTTTCATTTCTGAAGTGGGAGGATAGTCAAAAGTTAAGAGTATGTTTTACTCAGGTGATATTCTCTCAAAATTTGCTTTCAGAAGCAGCGTTAATGTAGGTGTGTAGTACAGTATGTTCTTCTAATAATGACAGTGCTATTGTCATCCATATATACTTCTGGTTCTTCTCTTTTTCCAGACGGTCTACAAAGCCTGGCTCTGTTCCCAGTATTTTGAAGTCACACAGTTTCACTGCAGCAACAGAATTCCTTGCAAGCAATACTGTTTGGAGGTTCAGACGAGGTGTCCCTTTATATTACCAGACAATGACGATGTCATCTATGGAGGACTATCAAGTTTCATCTGTACAGGTATAGTATAGAAAAGCTAATTTCACCTGTTTTCATAAGTCTAAATGTGAAGGCGAGTGTGGATAATGTTTCTTCCATTAGCTCTATGAAAGCCTGAAAGTATTCCTCATCACAAAGAGATTTCTTGGAGGTGCTAGGTTTTGAGCCCAGATTTAGTAATGTGCATTTATGCTACAGCTTGCCACAGTCATTAAGTTTACAAAACAAAATTACTAGAAGAAATTTGTTCTGGTTATTTTTTACACTTGATAATTTGGTGGAGGATTTTTGTTGCTCCATGTCATGCAGTATTCAGAGAAAAGAGGCTGTCATGTAATATTCAGAAAAAAAGAGGAAGAGAAGTCCAGTTTTTAGTATATTCACCTTTGTTCACCTGCATTCGTATGTCAGATAAATGAAGAATCTGAGACATAGCATTCAAAACTGTGCAGCAGCTCTTGGAAGGTAAATGTCTGAGGAAAGGTCTTTCACTAGTGAAGAATTTTAAGAATTGGTTGTTCACCTGCAAAGAACTGATCTTTTGGTCTCTTCTTGAGTCTTGTTACATTCTGTGAGTATTTTAATTTTAAAAGGTATTGCTAATATAGGTCTACGCATTGATTGATAAAATGGTTTGGTTTCTTTTACATTCCATTATGCTTCAAACACTATCCCAGAATGACCCAACCAGAGAGGACATGGTAGGCAAAAAATACCTTTAGTACATCCTGGGTACCTCAGATACTTTTTTCAGGACTGGCTGGGAGTCATCCACACAAAATTTCAGCTTATATCAATGTTATCTGCAGATTTCTGATGCCTAGAGTATCATCTGAGAATCTTGAAGATATTTAATCAACTTATTCCCACTAAATCAGTAAAAAGGCATTTCAACACTTAGATCGTTTGACAGCTTGGTCCAAATTTCTGAAACTAGACAGCCTTCACTTTCAATTAGGGCTGCACTGGAAAGCTTGATACTAAATGAGTTGCCCATGGCAAGCTACTTAAAAACAGAATAAAACATAAAACCCCATAAATGCTCTATACCATCTCAGAGGCAAGCATAATTTCACCTTATACCCTGTGTTGGGATTTAGGGGGGTTCTGGTAGCAAGATATTTACTATATTTCTTTTTGACAATTAAGCCTATTGCACACACTCGAGCAATATCCATCCATATGCAAAAGACAATATAATGAAATGTAAGCTGAGTTACAATTTGGTAGTCATCAATAAGGTAATGGTGCTTAGCACTCCACTTCAATGCATTTCGTAAATATTAATAGCCTTCCAATATGCATACACAGTAAACAAATGAGCATTATTTTCCAGTTTAAGATAGGACAGTAAAAGCTGAAGTGAGACTTAGGACATTTTTATTTACAACATGTATACAATATATATGTTTGTATGTGTGTGTATGCATGTATATACACATGTGTGCACACTTACACACATACACAATGGCAAAGAATGAACAAATAATAAGCAAAAACATCTTAGTAATTATTTCAGAAAATCTCTTAGGAAATATATATCTACCTCTTAACTTTCCTAGTATATCTCCAAGTCCAAATTCATTCCTAAAACACACAAAATAGATTACTTTTCAAAGATAACTGACAGTCGATATCTCTGAGTTTGGGATGAAAAGCAGATTTAGGGGAGGATTAAACTCATTTTATTGCAGATATTAGTAGTGTGGGTATCTACACATAAACTCTGTGTCTAAGCTCTCACTAGAGTCACTGAAGATCTGGTGTAGTCAGTAGAGCTGAGAGCTATTTAATTCAGCCTCAGGAGGCAACTGCACCCGATAAGCTGACTAGTTCTCTATGCCCTGCTAACAGTGCTGGCTGAACTTTTTGCTGTAGCTGCTGTTAGTCACCAATGTCTTATTGCAGACGCTTAAAATCAGGGTGACCTGAATCTCATCTCAGCAGTCCACTAACTAATATTTGGTTGAACTTTTTGTCCTCCCGAGTAAAGACTCTCAGCATCAGCAGAGCAGAGTTTGTATTCATGGACACATAGGAGTCAGCACGCTGACACAAGGCAGTTGTGTGCAAGAGAAGATGCTGAGGAGAGGTAGAAGGTTGCAGTTCAAACTTTGTCTGGAATACAGGCCCATTGTCTCCCTGTTATTAAACAGCAGCTCCGCTGTAAGAGCACTTCCTGCCACGAAACGAGAAATTAGACTAGTATCTGCTGTGGGGCTGAAGAATTACGCTTCTCTGCAGCTTAGTGAAAACAGAAGTATTTCGTGCGAAGTACAGTGAGTTCATCAGCAGACAAAATATTCTACCTCAGCATACCATGTGGCTTGACAGTTAACTTGAACTCCTTTTGCAGAAAAGAACAGAAAGCAGGTCACCCACATCTCGAGGGACCTCTTCTCCTGCTGCACTTTCTGCGAGCTCCCATCTGGCAGACACGTTCTGGGATTTCTAGTTACTGATCCTGCTCTTCCTCTTCCTGGGGTGGGTGACATTCACTGGCAAAACCCAAAAGAGTCAGGTCAAAGGTATTTCTATTTGATATTTAGGTGTTATAGGTGGTTGTCTGATGTCTCCATTCAACCTAAGTTCACTGTGAAGCTGGTCACCATTGAGCTACAGGAAACACATCAGGAGCAAACTTTATGTTCAGAGATTCCTCATGAACAGCATTTTGCCACAGCCCATCACTCTTTTAAATTAGGCTTGAATATCTCTGCTGCTTCTGACTCTGATGGTATCCCATGGAGAGAAATGCTACAGGTCCTTTTTTGAAATTTTGACTTGCATTTTCAGAGAAATCCAGTAGGAACTGAATTGGGTTATGTTGGTATGATATTCCCCCCAAAAACAAAAACAAAAACAAAAACAAAACTAATGAAAGACTAGCTGGTTAGTCTTTTATAATTAACTGTTAGTTATACTATATTGTCTGGAGAAAAAAAAAAGGAGCCCCTCTGCTTATAGGATGATTTATCTCTGAGAGATGTCAAGAATTTGTGGATTCTGATTTTCTTTAACAATGTATTATAATAAGGGCTTCCCTCCCTCCTCTCCATGGTAACAGACTATTTCCTCTAAGGTCCAGTAGAGATTTAGGTTAATGGAAAGACAGAGGATTGATTTCTATAAAACATTTCACATCATGGAAGTCAAGGAACAGGAAAAGGTGTACCAGTGATAGCTGGTTCTATTTGATGTTGATGACAGCACAGAGTGCAGGATGTACATATAAACATGACATGCCATTTTCCAATTAGAGCTAGATAAAAGGCTGATGTGGCTTCATGTCACCAGCAGTGCTGGGAGCTGCCGTGGTGGTACAGAGCTGCCGCCTCCCCTCGCCGTCCCCGTCCCGCCTCAGCGGTGAGCAGGGGTGCAGAGACATATGCTGGAAGTGGGGGTATGGCAGCACCAGCGGACAGGGAACCCACATACTTTTTTTTTTCTTTCAGGGCAGGATTTTCTCAAGGTTGATGGCTGCAAAAAAAAAAGGTACTGGCGGCTGTAAAAAGAAATAGTAACAAAGGTTTTATCCCTCCTTGAGAGGTCCATGTGATGAGAAAACAGCATAGGACTGGCTATTTTTTCCCCAAGAAATTTTGCAGTCATTGTTATCTTAGAATTCCTAAATAAGTATTTTTTAAAATGCTGCAAAAAATTAAATAAGGCTATATGTAGAGTCATTATAGGGGGCAGGCTGGAGCCATAATTGTGGCTAAGAATCACACACGATGGTGGTGTACTTGCTCTCTTCCAGTCCTTTGACACCACCAAATTAAAAAAATTAAAAAAAAAAAAAAAAGTTGTAGTTTATAATATTGATTAATAATGACTTCTTGGAAATTCCTGAAGGACTGGTATAATGAATAAGAAGTATTCTAGCCTGAGAATGTCTTACTTGATTACCTCCAATGAAGGCAGGTAGTGGGAAAAGGAGAGGGGATGCTACACTAGTTATGAAGGCAGGTAGTGGGAAAAGGAGAGGGATTGCTACACTAGTGTATCACAGGAACTTGTCTTTTGTAGAAATGCATGTGAGGATGTAGGACAACTGCAGTGCAAAAGAAAGTACTTGGGAGATTAATCAAAACAATCAGAATCACAGTGTGGGTCTGATTATGGAAACATGTGGTTAGCTAGAAAGAAGTTTGTGTTCCCCTTTCCTCCCTTTCTTCTAGGAAATGGAAAGAAGTCAATCTTTCCATCAGGCACTGTTCTGGAACATAATATTTTTCATATTCATTCAAATTGAATGGTTGCTTTCAGTTTAGACCTTTGGAGTTTATATCCATATGATCAAAGTTTCCAGTGGTTTCATCTAATGTTTCTTTCTGCAGCTCAGATGTCTAGAATTGCCCATGCAAAACAGAATCTTATCTAAGGGAGATAATAGTAGTGTTTAGGCATACATACACACACACATGGCAGATTACAATGAATGAGTCCCATGCAAAGTTCCAGGTCAAGTTTTTTAATTGTGACTCCTATAAAAACAGTGTGCGTACCAGTGGGACTGTTTTCTTTCATAGTTGTAGTCATCTTTTCCTCTTTTTTCCCCAGTGTGAATGGAAGATGTGAAAGATTTCTTTCACACGTGCTCTTTGAGTGTGAAAAGAGAGCTGAAAGATGTATGACTCTATGTACAGAGCACTGGGAAGAGCCTGGTAATACTTCACAACTCCTGCTTTTCCCGTGCCTTCCAAAGTAATGTGGTCCAGCAGCCGGCCTGGGGACTGGTCCAGCCCATGAACTGCTTCTGTCTGGCTTGCTGCCATCTCCCAATGGAGACAGAGAGAGGATGCAGAGGTCAAGTATTTTCTTCACAGCCAAAACTATCCATTCAGTTCTTCAGTTTGCTCAACCCAGAAAATATGAGAGCTCAGTTTCCACCAAATGAGCAGCAGAGATGTCCAAAGAGAAAGGAGAAAAGATTAGCTCTCCTCCGCAGCCACAGTCCTTCCCTGAGCAGCCAGGATATGCCATCAACTCCAATGCTGCAGTTGCATCCACGTTAGCAA